AATATTTTAAGTGTTGGCCCTTTTAGAGGATGGTTGTATGTCTAGCTGTCTGTCCCCAGTAGACCGAAACCCCACTGCTTTTCACAGATGAATGTTATGTGGGTGCCTTTCCAGGTTCTGGTGCTCTAGGCTGGGTAGCCAGCTTGGTGTTTACACCCAACATTTCTCAGGGGCACTCCTGCCCCAAAAGCTGACCTATCCTAGCCAGCAGTCTTGTGCCTCCACACTTCCTACCAGTCTCAATGTCGCTTCTTCTATAAATACTTGGTTATAACACTTCTTTCCAGGTAGTCCTCAGTTGGTTATTCAGGATGATTTTCCTGTAATTCAGTTGTAGTTCCAATTTGGTCCTGGGAAGAAGTTAGTGTAGCTTCCACCTAATCCAGCACCATCTTAGATCTTTGCTATTACATGTTTGTTTGTTTGATCCGACAACCCTACCTCTTGAGTAAGATAGTAATATAACTTTTAGTCTTGGCTCTGGCTGGAGGGAGGAGAATAGGAGAAGTTTCCCTAAGAATTCCCAAAGACAAGAGTGTCCTCTTACATTTTAAGGCATGAAGTGCCTTAAATAATAAATTTTATTTATAAATTAAATGCTTAAATAATATGCCTTAAATGCCTGAAATTAAATGCCTTAAATAATATGCCTATTATAAATTATATGCCTTAAATAATAAATTTATATTTATTTACCTATATGCCCCTAGGTACCTGGAATAAACAAGTGTAAATCCATTCTCGAGGAATCCAACTTAAACACAGACTTCAAAGAATAACAAGTGATGAATTTACACAAACATTAATTCACAATCAGAAAACACAAAACACATGAAGAAACATGCCACTGTGGGTGAGACTTAGGAGAAGTAATAAATAATAGAATCACACTTGAAAAGACTAAAGGTGTTCAAAGAAGAAAAAGATAAATAAAATAAAATACAATTAAAAACAAAAACAAAAAGGACAAGAAAATTTAAACAGGGAAAAAAGACTAAAGGTTTCAGATTTGAAATATAAAATAAGTAAGTTTAATTTGCTAAAGTAAATAAAAGACAATATGAGACATATGACTAAGAAACACAAGACCACAAAAAATAGTCAGGTACTTTAAAAAAGTATTATATAAAACTCCTAAAAATGAAAAATTTTAAAAATAAACTTACAGATATAATGGATTGGCTATTCAAAAGACATAGTTAAAGAGAGATAGTGGAATAGAAATTGTGAAAGTGAGATTAAGAGACATAGAATAGAGTAAGAGAATGGAGCAAGAAAACATTTAAAGATATAGTGGCTAGGAATTCCCAGTGTTAAAAAAAAGACTCAAATATCAGTTTCAAGAAGAAATCAGACGAAAGAAGTCACACTCAGATTCTCCTGGATTACCCTTCTTTTTTGAGGACCCCAGGATACTGTACTGATCCATGAGTAAATAAGATTTTTGTTAACACCTAGTATAGGCCCTAAACACCATTAATAATTAGTTTCACTAAATAAATGTAGTCTAGTATATGCTTTATATTCCATATTTTATTTTAAGCTGATTTTGGTTAATGGTTATCTAAAATAATTTTAGATGTATCCTCTCACCCCAGTTATGTAAAAATTAAATATATAGACTTGGATGGCAAACAAATACATTTTAATACAAGGCAAGTTCCTTTGTTTACACTTACTGAGATAAGGAGAAGAGTTTCTTTTCACCTGTTGACTACAGTGTTCATGTAAAGCTTAGGAATAGTAATTTCAGAGTTATAGGCATCTGCTTTTTCATCAAGGGAATATTCTTTTCCACTTGCATCCCATGGGATACAATAATAGGGATGATAACAATGTATGATAATGATAATGATGAATTTCAGCAGTAAGCACTAGAATAGGAGTCAGCAAGCATTTTCAATTTCTGCAAAAGATGGAATAGTATTTTAGACATTGTAAGCCAGATGTTCTTTGTCTCGTCGTCTCAACCTCTGATGTTGTAGTATTAAAGGAGCTATGAACAGCATGTAAATAAATTAAACTTTACTTACAAAAACAGGCCAGGGTTTTACTCTATGGCTGTAGTTTGCTCTACCATGGATTAAAATACAGGCATACCTTAGAGAAACTGCAAGTTCAGTTTCAGACTACTGCAACAAAGCCAGTAACACAATAAAGTGAGTCATAATCTTTTTGCAGGGGGAAGGCCTGGCTTTCAATTTGTAAAACACACTACATTTGTGAAGCTCAATAAAACAAGGTATGCCTATACTGAGGGTGTCTGAAGTCCAGTGAATTACTTAGTTGTAGCTAGGCGTACTTCTTAAATTTTGCTTAAATTATATTTTTCAAACTGTATCATAAATCAGTATAAAAATAAAGATAAAATACATTTATTTTATTTTAACATATATTTTTTAAATTGCATTTTATTGATCATGCTATTAGAGTTGTCCCAATTTTTCCTTCTTTGCCCACTCCACCCAGCACCCTCACTCCCTCACACAATCCCCACACCATTATTTATGTCCATGGGTCATGTGTAGGTTCTTTGGCTACTCCATTTCCTATACTGAACTTTACATCCCCATGGCTATTCTGTAACTACCTATTTGTACTTCTTAATCCCCTCCCCTCTTTACTCATTCCCCCAAATCCCCCTCCCATCTGGCAACCATCAAACTGCTCTCTGTATTCATGATTCCATCTCTGTTCTTTTTGTTTGATTAGTTTGTTTTTTAGATTCAGTTGTGATAAATTTGTATTTTTTGCAATTTTATTTTTCATAGTTTTGGTCTTTTTCTTAACAACTCCCTCTAACATTTCATATAATAATGGTTTGGCAATGATGAACTCCTTTAGTTTTTTCTTGTCTTGGAAGCTCTTTATCTGTACTTTAATTCTAAATGATTCCTTTGCTGAGTAGACCAATCTTGGCTGTAGGTCCCTGCTTATCATGACTTTAAAAATTTCTTGCCAATCTCTTCTAAAAATTGAAAGTTTTCAATTTCTTGCTCTTTCTCTTCACCTTCTGGCACCCCTATGATTCAAATGTTGGAATGTTTAAAGTTGTCTCAGAGGATCCTAAGCCTCTCCTCACTTTTTCGAATTCTTGTTTCTTCATTCTGTTACAGTTGAATGTTTATTTCTTCCTTCTTTTCCAAATCATTGATGTGAGTCCTGGTTTCCTTGCCTTCATGGTAGGTTCCCTGTGTATTTTTCTTCATTTCACTTTGCATAGCCTTCACTTCTTCCTCTATTTTGTGAACATACTCAACCATTTCTGTGAGCATCCTGATTATCAGTGTTTTGAACTCTGCATCTGATAGGTTAGCTATCTCCTCATCGCTTAGTTCTTTTTCTGGAGTTTTGATCTGTTCTTTTTTTGGGCCATATTTCTTTGTCTCAGTGTGCCTGTCCTGATGTAAGAGGCAGAGGGTTAGGTATTCACCAGGTCGGTACAACCCACTTTGCTGAACTGTGGTGCTGTATGTGAGGGAAGGGTCTGAGAGAGAACAATGCTGCTTGCTTAGTTCTCAGCAGCTTTCAGTCACTTCGCTTGCTACCAACAAATGAATTGGGCCCTTCTGGTGCTGATTCCTGGGTGGGTGGGCTCATGTACATGAGGATCTTGTAGGATCTGTGGTCCCCTCCAACAGACTTTCCTGTGAGACTGGCAGTTTCTCCCACTGCCACAACCTCCACAAGATTTTTAGAGCCAGAAGTTTTGAAGCTTTCTTTGCCAGCACTGTAACTGCAGGTTGCCTGGTCTGTCTCACTCCCCAGTTGTTTTTCCTGGTTTATCCACTCACGAATGTGTGACTGCCCTGTCCGCCGGCTACCACCTTGCCTTGTGTCCTCTCCGCCCCTCCTACCAGTTTGGAGGAATGTTTCTCCTTTAACTCCTTGGTTGTCAGACTACCATACAGTGCAATTTTCTTACAGTTCTGGTTGTTTTTTGTTTTTAAATTGGTTATCGTTCTTCTTTTGGTTGTGTGAGGAAGTGAAGCATATCTATCTATGCCTCCATCTTGGCTAGAAGCCAAAATTTTATGACTTTTAATGCAGTTTCACGTCTAAAGAAATAACAGCATCAGGCCTGGTGGTCTGCATTCTTGTGAGCTCTCAGGTGAGGCCAGGGCTGCTGGTCCTCAGACCATGCATGCTCTGAGGAGAAAGGGTATAGACTTCTCTTCAGAGAGATCTGGAAGAAGAGCCATTGGATAGCTGAAGACTTGAAAAGTAGTGTTTTGTTTTTACTTCTGAGCATATCTATGGCCAAGGGAAACAAAGAAATGAAGAAATATAAATTACAGATGTAATATATTACTTCTAAACAGAGGAAAGAAGTGGTACAGATAATCCACAAAAAGAATGAGAAAAGGGGAAGAATGAAGACCAAAGATACAGAAATTGCTTTTGAAGAGGAAAGGGGGATAGTGAAAAAGAAGGAGGGAGGAAAGAAAGGCATTAACTAAGTAGTTTTTGAGTTGATGAGGAAACTAGAGAGAACTCATATTAGAAGACTATAGGATATTGGCAGTGAAACAGAAAATTAGATCATTGCTGCTCCTGAGAATACGAAGAGAGTGCTAGTACCAGGATGAACCCTGGCCCCTCCTTTATCCTCCTCATGCATATGAGGCATCAGAGATATACATTTCACTGGTGTTTGTTATTGCAGTGAAAGTAATTTGAATATAGAAGCACTGGCTCTGTTTTTATGGTAGCTCAGGTTTTGATGAGAGAGCTGTTTCATAAAATTCCTTTAAATACTGCAATAATATACCAAACTGATTTTGGACAGAGAAGAAATTAGAGTTTATTCTCTAAGAGCTATAGCTGTTATTTTCAGTATATATTACACTGATTTAGAACAAAAAAAATTTTTTTAACAAAAAATATTTTTAATATCTACTATTTCTGTCACAATTAAATTCATTCTCTTCATCTTTAGTAATCAAATTTCAATATTGAAAGCTCATTATACATTATTTCTTAGATGTGTTTTATGTACCTTCTTGCATGAGTGGATCAAGAAACTTTAAGATGGCTAAAGTAGAGGATACAGGAAATGGAGGCACACCAGTAGCCCATATTGGTATGGAAAAAATTTTATTAACTATTATTCTGTAAGTGTATATCCAAGCTGACCAAGTCTTAACACTTTCTCTGTTTATAAACAATTATGCATTGACCTGACCTGTCCTCACAGTTGTGTACTTCCTAAATTATAGGACAGATTGACAAACGTGATAAATACTTGTAGCATAAGGTATAAATGATTCTGATGTTTGCATTGAGGACATGCTGTTGCATTCTGTTTCACTTTTATTCTATCAGGGTCATGACTTGTTTCTCTGATTAAAGATCACTTTTATCTCATCACGTATTATGTTCACTTCAGTATAGGCACACTTTTCCATGTTAGTTATAGTCTTTGAAACATACTTTTACTTTTGAAATCTTAACTGCGTGTTTTGTTAAACTTACATTCTTTTTTTATTCAGTATTTATATTCATATTTCTTTTCAGTTGATGTCCTTATCCACTCAGCCCTTGGGAAAAAAAAAACACAAAACACTGACACCTAATGTAATAATTTCCAAAGCTAAGCATGAGGATTCAGCTGTGTACTAACTCTGCATGGATGTATAGTTGGCTTTCATATTTTCATATAATTGAGTACACATCTCTTTGCTCTCTAGATTCTCCTGGAAAATATTCTCACTTAAAGGTAATAACTTTTATATTTTTATATTGAAGTACTAACTACAGATTGTATGAAATGTAAATTTTTTTAACCATCTTGTTTAAAACTTATTCAGCCTACTGTTGAAGAGAAAGGTCCTATTCCTGAAAAAGCAGCAGGAATGAATTTTCTACAAACATCCAGATCAGGTAAATTTTGTGCTACAAATTTAACTCTGGAAAGGAACACATGAGAATATTTGACATGCTCATAGTCTTCTTATTCCTAATTCCTTTTTTTTTTTTTTGGAAGTTGAATTGTAGGTTTTGACATAAGTAATGTAGATGTCACTTTTAGAATCCATGTTTGATATTTGCAGAAAAATAAACCAAGATTTCTAAAATGTAAACTTTAAATAAGATGTTTTTACTTTTGTTTTGGTAGCCTAAAGTTCCCAATTTGGAACCACTATAGTTATTAGGGATTCCCATAGGATAATTTTTAGACTCTTAAGATTTTTCCACTGTTGTAAAATGCTTATTTGGCCATGGCTGGTGTGGCTCAGTGGATTGAGTGCCAGCTTGTGAACCGAAAGGTATCTGGTTCAATTCCCAGTCAGGGCACGTGCCTGGGCTGTGAGCCAGACTCCAGTTGCCGGAGTGTGAGAGGCGACCAATCATTGTTTCTCCCACATATTGATGTTTCTCTCCCTCTCTTTCTCCCTCCTGTGTCTCCTCTTTTGAAAATAAATTTTTTTAAAAAAAAAGCGAAAGGAAGCAATGCTTTTAAAGTAAATAAATAAAGTAAAATAAAATGCTTATTTGAAGTTGTATTTTTATCTAGAGTTAAATTTCACTTGCTAACATGTCAATAGTGTTTTAAGTATTTCATCTCAGTGTTGTTACACTGATGATCTTAAGCCAACCAGATGGTCTGATTAGAAGATTCCTGTGTGTGTGTGTGTGTGTGTGTGTGTGTGTGTGTGTGTGTGGTGTCTTTGAGTATTGAAAATGGGGAAGAAAACAATCATAGTGAATATTTGGTAAACACAACCTCTTAAAACACTAATTTTGAAATTTTAGGACTCAGGGTGCCCTTATACTGTTAAAAATTATTGAGAATTCCAAAGAATTTTTAAGTGGGTCATTCCTCTTGATGTTTACAGTATTAGAAAATCAAACTAAAAAATTTGAAACACAAGCAGTATAATCATATATCCTATTAGCCATTAGAACTATGACCCATTAAGCATTAGAGCTATGATGTTATCATGGATCATGTCTGTGGAAAACTCTACCCGTATACTTACAAGGGAATGAGAGTGAAATGGCCAGTGAGGTTTGGTATTGCTGTGAAAATCGTCTTGACCTGTTGGACCCCCGACCCAGTGTGTCTTGGGATCCCAGGGATTCTCCGATGACACTTGAGCACCACTATTTTAAGTTGTATATGGTTCATGGATGTCAGACGATAAAGAGCCCCTCGTGATTAAACAGGCTTTAAAAGCTTCATCTGTTCATTTGTTGCTTTTTGCTTTCACTTGTCTTAAAAAGTTGAAATCTGATGATTTTGTTTAAATAAGAGGAAAATGTTTTTGTTCATTCATTGCCTGTGCCATGTCACTTTGTACTCACTGGATTTAGTATGGACCTAGACTGATCCTGTTTTTACCTGGAAACAATAAGGTCACTTAAGGTTATCATTTCTCGTATGAATTTGTATTTATCTAAGGGTTAAAGATGAATTTTGAAGATACTTGTGTGTTTTAAAAGGGCCATTTTATTGTAATTATGTAATTTCTATTTGAAGTAGTACCACTCATTAAAAGTTTTTCTAACCCATGTTTTCTGATGCATATTTAACCTTAAAATAAGTGGTTAGACATACATTTTAATAACAAAAAATTCATACCCTGAAGAATCTTAATTATTAATAAACAAAGCTTTTATGGAAAACAGAATATGTATACAAATTGCTAAGTGAATAAAAATCAGCCATATAAGTAAAGAAAGAACAAAAATGAGAGACAGTAGTTAATTAAACTTCTCTATGTGAATGTCAAGGGCAAGACACATAAAGTAATATGTATAATGAAGAGTCGTGTTTAGGGGAAGAGGAAGACATGGGACTACTTCTCTGAAGAAAGAATTTTTATAAATCTGTCAGATTTGTCTTATCATTTACACTGTAATAAATGAAAACTTTATTTTCATGTTCTTCACATTATGGTTTTACTACTAGTTTGACCCTCAGTCATGAGAATTGTCAAAGATCTGAGATTTTATCTTTTATATATCTTTATTTAATTTTTAAAAAAATCTTTGCCTGAGGATTTGTTTATTGATTTTAGAGAGAGAGGAAAAAAGAGAAAGAGAAATATCCATGTGAAAGAGAAATATCAATCAGTTATGTCTCATATGTGCCCCAACCACAACCTGAGTATGTGCTCTGATGGAGAATCAAACCCCCAACCTTTTGGCAGGTATGGGACAACGCTCCGAACAGACCAGCTGAGCCACCTGGCCAGTGCAAAGACCTGGGAGTTTTAAAGTTCATGAAAAATGTCCATTAGTACACACAATTAGTACCACAATTGATGACCTAAAGTCAGTCAGCGTTCACAGACTAGACAGACGACCTTAACAGACAGAGAAAAAGATTAATGTCGGAGCTACTTCTGTTAGGGAAGTTTAGGCTGCATGACGTGTGTGATCACAGTTCCCAGCACAGAGAGAGAGCAAAGGTGATCATAAAGAAAGAGTTCATCCCTAGGTCACCTCTGTGGCTGCACTATAGTTTTGACTTTTCAAAAATCATTTTGTGGCAAAATCCACTTTATATTTACTCCTTTTATGCAACCTACAGCCAAACAGAATATCTTTTAGCAAGACATATGCATTCTTCCTGTAATGAATGTAACATATACTTAAATATAAAGAGACTTAGGAGAAAGAATAAACTCCTTTACATTAGTATTTGGCATACACTTGGGAGTGGGTAGCAGAATTATATTTAGAGCTCTGGGACTAGATGGGAAAACTAGGTAGAGATCTAAGTATTGCCTACTCAAACAAATGTCATTCCTTAGCTTTATTTTTATAGCTCTGAATTCACAAGAATTATAACTATATTCAGTGTACCTGAAAAATCACCTTCCAAAACCAAATATTAAAGTTTTTCTTGCATTTCCTATGGCTTTATCCATTTTAGAATTGGCTTTTCCAGCAGTAATGGGAATCCCTGAGAATTTGCTGCACAGTACCTACTTCTGAGCTGTGTCCACATAGTTGTTACCTTGTTTTATTTTTTAATGAATACATGATTCACGAGGAATATTGGTTTTAAGGGGTGCTGTGTCATTTAAAATTAATGTATGAGAACCAGTTTTAATTCTAAGAGGATACTCGCTCTGTTGACCCAGCACATCTAATATGTGTTGCACTTTGTGTATTCTGTATTACCTTAGTGTCCTTTTTCAGTTACATGATCAGGGGTGTGGGGATAGATCGAACACGTATATATATGTTTAGGGTTATGCAACATTTGAACCCTAACATTGCATATTAGATATAGCTTTAACTGTTCTAAGTAGCTCCATTTAGCTAATATATAGATTTGTCAGCAGAATTAGACTTAGAAGTGACACCAGAGGAAGAGCAAGAAAGGCTTAATGGAAGTGAAAATAACCACCCACAGGTATGTAAAATTTAAATTTAAATTTCTGGTGTAATATTGTTTTCTTTTAATAATGTAACATAGTCCAACGAAGTTACCTTTCAAGCTAGTCTCTTAGAGTCAGTAGATCATAATTGAATATTTAGTTTTAACTAGTTACGAGACTTAGTTATTGTTAGAATCTATAGTAATTTATAGCTCAGCTTTCTTTGTAATAGAGGCAAAAACATCTCAAATATTGTTCACTGCTTGCATTTTTATAACTTCTTTACATGATAAAGAAGGTAGCATCAAATACTGAATCATATCGTTAAACGGTTAAAATAATGAACAATGTGACAATGATGACCACTGAGTTGGAGTCATGTGAAAAGAGTAATCACAGTCAGTGGTTCAAAATTTGCTTGTCATATTGGTACTCACTAATGCCAGGGTTAAAGCTTAATGCTGCCTTGTGATCTCTATGTAATTGAACTCAGGGTCTACATAGAGGGAGAGAATGGGGTCATAAAATTGTTTCAACTACCAATTAAGAATATCACATCTTCCCAAATTGAACCTTTTGCTGTTAGAGTATAAACAATAACTTTCAAATTTATTTCATTTTAGTGTAGAAAATCAGTGAATATTATCACATTTTTATCCACTCTCATTAGCAATATTATTAGAACATATTAGAATTGAATCCGCAAGATAATTGTATCAATGTATACACTATCATATTATTCGAATAAAAATTGTAGAAATTGCTTTTATTTTGGATTGGTGTCAATGCTTTTGGCTCCTAATAATTTTTTAAAATATATTTTCTTGATTATGCCATTACAGTTGTCCTATTCCCCCCTTCATTCCCCTCCACCTTGCATACCCCCTCCCCCGCCATTCCCCACCTTTCATTTATGTCCATGTGTCACAAGTTCTTTAGATTTGATATGTCCCATACTTTCCTTGTCCTGCCCTCTGTCTATTTTCTACCTACCGTCTATGCTACTTATTCTCTGTACCTTCTCCCCCCTTCTCCTCCTCCCACTCCCCTGTTGCTAACCCTCCATGTGATCTCCATTTCTATGGTTCTGCTCCTGATCTAGCTATCCTCTTAGTTTGCTTTTGTTTTAGGTATGGTTGTTAATAACTGAGTTTGTTGTCCTTCCACTGTTCATATTTTTTTATCATCTTTTTCTTAGATAATTTCTTTTAACATTTCATATAATAAGGGCTTGGTGATGATGAACTCCTTGAATTTGACCTTGTCTGGAAAGCACTTTATCTGCCCTTCCATTCTAAATGAAAGCTTTGCTGGATAGATCAATCTTGGATGTAGGTTTTTGGATTTCATGACTTGGAATACTTTCCAGCCCCTTCTTGCCTGTAAGGTCTCTTTTGAGAAATCCGCTTGACAAAGAGACCTTGTCAAGGTCTCTTTTGACAGTCTGATTGGAACTCCTTTGTAGGTGACAGTCCCCTTATCTCTTGCTGCTTCTAGGATTCTCTTCTTCATTTTAATCTCGGCTAATGTAATGATGATGTGCCTTGGTGTGTTCCTTCTTGGGTCCAACTTCTTTGGGACTGTCTGAGCTTCCTGGATTTCCTGGAAGTCTATTTCCTTTTCCAGATTGGGGAAGTTCTCCTTTATTATTTGTTCAAATAAGTTTTCCACTCGTGGCTGTTCCTCTTCCCCTTCTGGTACCCCTATAATTCGAATGTTGGAGCATTTAAAGATGTCCTGAAGGTTCCTAAGCCTCTCCTCATTTTTTGAATTCTTGTTTCTTTGTTCTTTTCTATTTGGTCATTTTTTTCTTCCTTGTGGTCCACTCCCTTGATTTGAGTCCCAGTTTCCTTTCCAACACTATTGGTTTCCTGTGCATTACCCTTCATTTCAATTAGTTTAGCCTTCATATGTTCCTCTAATTTGTGACTAAAATCAACCACTTTGGTGAGCATCCTGATCACCAGTGATTTGAATTGTGCATCTGAAAGTTTGGCTATCTCTTGGTCACTTAGAATTATTGGTTCTGAGGCTTTAAGCTGTTCTTGAGCCATAATGTTTTGGTCTGTTTGCACCTGTTATGTATGAGGGGCAGAGCCTTAGGTGTTCACCTGGGTGGGGCCACCCAGGTTGCTGGGTTGTGATGCTGTATCTGAGGGCGGGGTCAGAGAGGGGCAATGGCATTTGTTCCCCTCTCTCTCTTAGATTTCTGTCCCCTCTGCCATTTCCCACAAGCAAATTGGGCCCTTCTGGTGCTGGTTCTTGGGGGTGTGGGCTTGTGTACCCTCCAGGACCCTGTGGGTCTCTCCAACAAACTCTCCCCAGCACCTCGACCCCAAAAGTCTTTCCAATTGGTGCTTTTAGGCTGTAATTCCCATGGCTGGGACCCTAGCCTGAGCTGTCTGTCTCACTGTTCACTCCTTTGCTTAGTTTATCTGCACTTGAATATGTGACCATGGTCAGCCAGCTGTGCTGCGCCCTCACTGGGTCCACCCATTGCCACCCCGTGCCTGGGATCCGCCAACTGCTGCTTGCACTCCTGGGTTGGTCCACCAATTTTTCCTGCCTGACCCCACTCCACTGCTGACTCCACTCCTCTTACTGGTCTGGCTGAATGGTTTGTTGTTGTCGGACTTCTGTGCAGTTCAATTTTCTGTGTTTTGGCTGCGTTTTTGTTACTAAAACTTGGTTGTCTTTAAACTTGATTGTTGTGTGAGGAGGCACAGTATTTCCACCTATGCCTCCATCTTGGCAAGAAGTGGGCTCCAAATAATTTAAAGCTTGCCTCTTCTCCAGTTTTAAAAGGATTCTTTTTAAAAAATCCTTTGCTTTTTAATTTTATTTTTCAATCACAGTTTACATTTCACTATTATTTTGTATTAGTTTCATGTGTACAGCATAGCGGTTAGATAATTATATACTTTGCAAAGTATTTTCTCCAATATTTCCAGTACCACCTGGCACCATGCATAGTTATTGCAATATTATTAACAATATTCTTTATGCTATACTTAACATCCCTGTGATAATTTTGTAACAGCTGATTTGTACTTCTTAATTTCTTCACCTTTTTTACCCAGTCCCCCAAATCCCTGCCCTTTGACAATCATTAGTCTGTTGTCTGTGTCTATGACTTTGTTGTTCTTTTGTTTGTTTGTTCATTTTGTTCTTTAGATTCCACATCTAAGTGAAATCATATGGTATCTGTCTTTCTCTGGCTGACTTATTAATACCCTCTAGGTATTAATAGAATACCCTCTAGGGTTAACATAATACCCTCTAGGTCCATCAGTGCTGTCACAAATGGTAAGATTTCACTGGGGGGTTTTTTATGGCTGAATAATATTCCATTGTAAATATGCACCACCACTTTTTTATCTACCTGTCTATTGATGGGCACTTGGTTTGCTTCCATAGCTTAGCTATTGTAAGTAATGCTGCAGTGAATACAGGGACATGTATAGTCTTCTGAATTAGTGTTTTGGGTTTCTTTGGATGTATACCCATAAGTGGAATTGGTCGGTCATGAAGCAGATCCATTTTTAAGTATTTGAGGACACTGCATACTGTTTTTCATAGTGGCTTCAGCACCCATAGTGCATTGCCACCAATAGTGCACATGGGTTCCTTTTTATCACATTCTCACTAACACTTGTTATTTGTGGATTTATTGATGATAGCCATTCTGACAGATATAAGATGACATCTGATCATGGTTTTAATTTGCATGACTCTGACAATTAGTGACATTAATCATTTTTATTTGCCCTTTGGCCATCTGTATGTCTTCTTTCATTTTTTAATTGGATTGTTTGGCTTTTTAGTGTTGAGCAGGATGACTTATAAATTTTGGATATTAACTCCTTTGCAGATGTATCCTTAGCAAATATGTTCTCTCATTCAGTACATTGTCCTTTCATTTTGTTAAGAACTTTCATTGCTTTTCAAAACCTTTTAGTTTGCTGTAGTTCCATATGTTTCTTTTTTTATGTTTTTTCCCCTTGCACATGGATATATAGCAGAGGAAATATTGCTCAGAGAAATCTCAGAGATTTTGCTGCCTATGATTTCTCCTGGCAGTTTAATGGTTTCAAGTCTTATCTTGAAATATTTATTTCATATTGAGTTCATTCTTATGTATGGTATAAGAAGGTAGTCTAGTTTCTTTCTTTCTTTTGCTTTTATCTGCCCAATTTTCTCAGTACCATTTATTGAATAGACTGCCTTTACCCCACCGTATTTTGTAGCTCTCTTTGTCAATGGCTCTCTCTTCTGTACTATTGATCTATATGTCTGTTCTTATGTCATTATCATGCTGTTTTTATCACCATGGCCTTGTATTATAGTTAGATATTAGGTAGTGCGATACCTTCAACTTTGTTCATCCTTTTTCAAAATTGCTGAGACTATTTGGAGGTTTTTGTGGTTCCATATGAATTTCTTGGGTTATTTGTTCTAGTATATGAAATACAGCTTTGGTATTTTGATAGCAATTGTGTTACTCTAGATTATCTTTAGTAGTATGAACATTTTAATGATGTTAAGTTTTTCTGTCTAAGAACACAGTATAAGCTCCACTTATTTATAACTTCTTTCATTTGTTTTCAGGATCTTGTATTTTCTAAGTACAGGCCTTTTACCTCCTTGGTTAAATTTTTCTTAGGTATTTTTTGATGCAATTGTAAAGGAGATTTTTTTTTTTTAGTTTCTTTTTCTGATAGTTTATTGCTGGTGTATAAAAATGCAAGTGATTTCTGAATATTAATTTTGTATACTGCTACTTCACTGGATTCATTTATGTTTTAGTAATTTTTTGGTGGAATCTTTAGGATTCCCTATGTACAGTATTATGTTATTCACAAATAATGACAGTTTTACTTCTTTTTTTCCACTGTGGCTGCCTTTTATTTCTTTTCTTGTCTGATTGCTGTGGCTAGCACTTCTAGAACTATATTGAGTAAGAGTAGTGAAATTAGACACTCCTGTCTTGTTCCTGATTTTAAAGGCAATGTTTTAGTTTTTCTTTTCAATAACTCTTCAGTTGGTTATTTAGGTTGATTTTTCTATAATTCATCTGTAATTCCAGTTTGGTCCTGGGAGGAGGGGAATACAACTTTCACCTACTCTGTGTCATTTTGGACCACATGTCCCCCTCAAAAAATTCTTAAATGCACTGTAGGGGCTCATTATTCATGATACAGTGAGGTAAACTATTTTTATGGAGATTTCATTTATTTATTGTTAGAGAGAGGGGAAGGGAGAGAGGTAGAAAGGGAGAGAAATATCAATGTGGGAGAGAAATATTAATGTGGGAGAGAAATATCAATCAGTTACCTCTTGTACTCACCCAGTCTGGGGACCAAACCAGTAACCCAGGTATGTGCCCCAACTGGAAACTACACCCATGAGCTTTCTTTCAGCTTGTGGAACAATGCCTGAGCAACTCAGCCACACTGATCAGGGCAGTGAGGTGGAATGTTTTAAGTGAGGAAGCATTTGTAGCATTAAAATTCACCTAGTAATTTATTTTAGGTATATTTAACATCTAATGAATTAATTAGTTCCAATAGTGACAAAATTAGGAACTCTGGTTCATTTTTTTTTTAAGTTTAGACCAAGGCAGGTTATTTTTCACTTCTTAGTAATAATCCAGTGATTTAGGAGTAGGTTAATGTAGATTAAGAAGTTTAACAGTTAAATTATAATTATAGTAATGGCAAGGATATGGAGAAAAGGGATTCCTAATGCCTTGTTAATGGGAATGCCAACTGGTGCAGCCACTGTGGAAAATAGTATGGAATTTCCTCAGAAAATTAAAAATGGAACTGCTTTTTGACCCAGCAATCCTGCTTCTGGGAATATAGTCTAAGAATCCCGGGACACCAATTTGAAAGAATGTATGCACCCCTATGTTCATAGCAGCATTATTTATAAGAGCCAAGATCTGGAAACACCTCAAGTGCCCATCAGTAAGTAAGTGGATTAAAAAGTTGTGGTACATTTGCACAATGGAATTCTATGTGGCTAATAAAAAAAGAGAATAAACTCCTACCTTTTGCAACAGTATGGGCAGGGTTGGAGGTTATTATGCTGAGTGAGATAAGCTAGTCAGTGATAGATAAATACCATATGATCTCATTTACATGTGGAATCTAATAAACAAAATAAACCAATGAAAAAAATAGAAACACAGGCATATATACATTGAACATACAGCTGTGGGGGGGGGGTGTCTGGTGAGGGACTGGATGAAAGAATGTAAAAGGAGTAGCCACAGAACGTATATGCATGACACATAGACACAGACACCAGAATAGTAGTGGTCAGAGGAAAGTGCGGGGCAAGGGCGAAGGAGGTAGTTGCACAAAGTGGGGGAATATTGGGACATCTGTAACAGTGTAAACAATAAAAATAAAGTAAAAAAGTTAATTCTAATTTTTCTTTATTCTTAATTAAGAATAAAGTTTTGTTACAAACATGTACCCTGACAGAAAAGACATCTGAAAATCAAACTAAGAAAATCACTTTTACACCAGGAAAAAATGTCTCAAGAACCAGAAGTAAATAGAGAAAGTGACAGGGGTAATGTATCTGCATACTTAGGGCATCCTCTGCAAAAGTGTGAGGAATGTGTGTCAACCAAGGCAAATTAGAGTGGAGGAATCATTTACAACTCATCACAAATGAGTTAAAGCAGAAGTTTGGAGAAAGTTGAGAGAAATACAAAATTACTGCTCGTCCTGAGGAAGAGCCACTGTATGACCATAGGAGCAAGCTTAAGACAAATACCTTCTAATGTGACAGATAATACATTGATTGTGAGGACGATGGTGTGTTTGGAGTGTCTGTCTCTCCTGTGTTCCAAACCTTTGCGGAACAGAGAGAACCCACCCTCGAAAATGTCTTTCTACCTCATTCATACCCAGGGCCCTTGGAGTATGTTTGCAGGTGATCTTCTTCCAAGCTTTATTTAATGGGATACAAATACACTATAAAAATGATAACAAACCAGACCTTGAGTTGTTTCTAACAAAAACTAACAAAAAGAGTTTTTATAAGGTTATAAAAGCAAAAAGTAAAATATCCAGTAGTGCAGTTTGAAATGAAAAAAAAGACAATGAGTTTGGTGTGTAGATGGTGGAAATGTGAACACAGATACTACTAATTGGAAATTAGGCCTCAGACATACAGCTCAGTCTTTTGATCCAAAAAGCGTCCTTGATTTGTGGTTTGCCTGCTGCAATAAAGTGAAGCATGTGCATCAGATAAGACAGGATATTTCTGCAGTTACAAATAGTTATATGGAAACAAAATCAGAGTCAAGATTTGTCCCAGATGCCATTATATGAAGATATTTACTAATAACTGTAAAAGCATGGAACATGAATTAGAAAATTTTGCCCTGGCTTATGTGGCTTAGTGGATTGATTGTGAACCAAAATGTCACCAGTTTGATTCTGGGTCAAAGCATAGGTCTGGGTTGCGGGCCAGGTCCCCAGTTGGGGGTTTGTGAGAGGCAAACTTTTGATGTGTCTTTTTGGACATTGATGTTTCTCTCTCTCTTTCTCCCTCTCTTCCCATTTCTCTAAAATAAATAAATAAAATCTTGAAAAAAGATTTTAATGGGAGTTTTTCTCTACCATATAATGACAGAACATCTAAAAAACTATCTAAAGAAGAATCACAGCAGGATATACAAAGTTTTAAGAATGAGGTAGATATGTTAAAATTAAGTTTTCTGGCTTTGGAAAAAGAAAGATAAACTTCAAAAAAAGGTAGAGGTTAACTTACTGCTACTTATTAGTTTTTCTCTTATCAATTATCTGATCCATTCTTATTTTCCACTTATGAAAAAGTTTGTGTGTAAAATGAGTTTGTATAAATTTGTAATTCAGTCCCGAAATTGACTATTTTGGTCATCCAAATAATGGTAGTTCAGGAAAACATTCTTATAATTTTTGTTCTTTAATCAACTTAAGTCTCTCTCTCAGTCTTCCATGTGAACTGGGACACTAATTTAGGTATGTACCATATGACCTGAATCTGAACACACAGTTATTAAGAACCACACCTAAAACAAAAGCAAACTAAGAGGACAGCTAGATCAGGAGCAGAACCATAGAAATAAAGATCTCATGGAGGGTTAGCAACAGGGGAGTGGGAGAAGAAGGGGGAGAAGGTACAGAAAATAAGTAGCATAGACAGTAGGTAGAAAATAGATAGGGGGAGAGCAAGAATAGTATGGGAAATATAGAATCTAAAGAACTTTGAGACACGTGGTCATAAACTAAAGGAGGGGGATTGGTGGGGGAGGGGGTATGCAAGGTGGAGGGGAATGAAGGGGGGAAATAGAACAACTGTAATGGCATAATTAATAAAATATGTTTTTAAAAATTGCTTTAAAAATGTAATAAGCAGCAGGGTTTTGGGGTTTTTTTAGTTTATCGGCTTCAATATAAATTGCATTCCATAAGCAATAAAATGGGAAGGAAGCCATGACTGAGGGAAGCAACATGAACAAATATTCCCCGCTGAACTCATCTATTATCGTAGGTCAGTGTGTGCAATCTTAAATGCTTGACTCAAAGCCCTGGAACTTAGGGTTCCAAAGTGACCGCTTTGAGATATTTTTAGTAACAAACATATACTTCCACATATCTTTAGTTTGTCATTCCTCTCAGATGGTTTTGTACATTCAAACCTTTATATAATGTTGTTTAATAAAGTGTGGAAAATTTTGACATGTATGACATTATCATATAGGTAGCAAAACAGCTTTACCAAAAATTTAGTATTTAAAGGAGAAAACTGAGTTTTGAGGCACACTGACTTTAAAAAACAGACAAAAGTTGAGATATTCTCCTTTAAAGGCAAGAGATGGATGAGCTCTCTCCCCAAACTAAAGCATTAAATTAATAGGCAGAAGTCATACTTTTAATTTATCTGATTAATTTGATGAATTGTTCTGTTCTTTTATCTGATTCAGCATTATAGAAGTGTATCATCTCTTTTGGTGGCATAAAATGCTAGGTATTACATCTTTAGGAGCTTTGGACAGATCATTTAACCTTGGTTTTATTCCCATTATCAGCAAATACGGGGCTAATGTAGATAATTACTTCTATACCATATCCTCTAGCTATAAAATTTAATGGTTATTGAATGTGAAATTTAGGGAGCCCTACTCATTTTCCAGGATTGTACATTACCTAACAATTCATCACTTTCACTCTGTTCCTATGTTGCAGTAAAATTTGGTTCATATATCTTATGAATACTATCACTTTTTTTATAACTTCGGGGTTTCAAAGCAAAAATAATTGTAAAAGTCAACATACAAAAAATACAGCTGATTGCGGAAAGAGGAAAGCCTCCTGTTTGTTACTGAAGCACAGTGTCACGTCCTCCCAACCTGTCTGTGTAACGCAGAATGCAGGTCGGAAAGAGATGATGACAGATTTTATGTCCTTGTCCTTTTGTTTCTGTGTCTCTGCTGGACAAATGGAAGGGGGGTAAAGGGAGAGTGCATGTGAACAGAGCCCAGAATTAAGAAAGCCCTTTTTTGAAATCTTAGAAAATTCGGCTTTATTGAAACAGAAATAAAGTAGAATTTAGAATTTCAAAGACCTGTACTGATAAAATGAAAGTAAGCACAAAAATATTTTTACTGATTAAAGTCATGACAAACTAAGAGCCAAAATGATAAAATTAATGAAAACACAAAAGGTCTTTTTGATAAATAAAGTAATAATAATGATCCTTAACACCAAACTGTCATTAAAGGTTGAAGAAGAGGAAAAGATGCACAACAGTAGTGAAGTGGCTGTAATAGAAAACGTGCACAATGCTGACGCTGACGACAGCAATGGATTAATTCAACAAAGGAAGCGCGAACAAACTGATAAGCAGCCATTCCCTGTTATAGGGAGTGAATATTCTGATAGGTAAGGTGACAGCAATACTTAATAGTAGGTGATTATTATTTTCCTATGAAGCAAATTGTAATTTGAGCTCATATTCATGATAAACAAATTTAATATTTTTACTAGGGATGTTCAGTGTTGTGTGGTAATCAAATAAATATAAGTTAACAAACAATGAGATACCATTTTCTGAAGTCATAATGCTAAATATTTAAAAATAACAACCAGGTTGGCAAATAAAAGAAAAAGATGGCATTTTCATACACCATTGCTAGATAAAATTGATAAATCTTTTTGAATGGTAATTATTAATAAATGGCATGTTTCATAATTTCAAATGTATAATTTCTTTATCTCAACACTATACTTCTGGAACTAGACCCTGCAGGAAAGCATTCTAGGGACATCTATTATATATCACTATGTATATAAAACATACAGTAGGGCATTATATATGCTATATGTAGTATGAATAGTGTTAAGGATATATTTATTTATATATATACATATATATATATATATATGCCTCAAGGACATTTATGTAAATATGTTACATGCAGGGCAGGACAAAAGTAGGTTTGCAGGTGTTCATATGGAAAATATTAATAGTAATTATTAAATAATAATACAAGAATAAATTGTTTTGTGTACTCACAACTGTAAACCTACTTTTTGCCCTCCCTGTAAATACATATGTATGTGAAGGATATTTTTTATAGCATTGTATATCAAAAAGTTGGATGTAATCTACACCTATCTATAAGGAAATACATTCTTAAACCCATAAAATAAAATGGTATGTAACCACTGGAACAAATGAGGTTAGGTCTGTAGCATACTGATTATTTCATAACTGAAGTAGATTTAAAGCATTTTGTTTGATGTCATATCTGAAACAAATTTTTTAGAGTATTTTTAATATCTGCTGTGTTTCAAAGGGAAGTTATATGCTACACTGGCACTCTACTTTGTTACCACCAAAATCGCGAGTTACTAGATTTTTCTGTTTTGGTCTGAATATGTGAGTGCTCAAATATTGGACCCCCAAGTTAATCTGAAAGCGAGGAGTTTCACGTGACACTTTGTTCCATGTCTCATTTAAAATGTTCAGTCTATTGAGTAAAACATTAAAACACACCAGTGGATCAATCTGTTAAAGCAGGGGGCACAGACTTTCTCTGCAAAGAGCCAGATGGTCAATATTTTAAACTTTGTGGACTGTCAGGTCTCTTTCACTGTAGTCTCAAATCTTCCATAGACAGTAGGTGAATGAACATGTGTAGCTGTGTGTGAATAGAACTCAGTTTACAAACAGGCAATGGGCTGGACTTGCAGACAGTTATTTGCTGACCCCTGCACTATAAACCAAGGTGCTGCTAATGTAGTGAATCTTCTTTTTAAAGTTTCCCTGCATACATGCCTTTGTCCTTTCTTTTTTAAAGAGAATATATTTCAGTATGCACCACACCAAATTTTTAAACAGTACCTTCATATTATATAACTTACAAAAATCCAGTTTATAAAAGAAATTTTCTGCATGCTTCCCCCTTTATTTCTGTTACAGAATTTTAATATGACTAGTTACTTTGTATATTTTAGTAATAGAAAATATTCTAGAATTGATTTTCATCAAGCAAAAAATCCTTGTGACCTTTTTTAACTATAAGAAAAATGATAATCAATTTATGTAATATCGTTATACAAGGTAGGAAAAGTAGGTTTACAGTTTGTATGGAAAATAATGCAATGATTAATAAATTATAATACAAGAATGAACTCTATTGTACTGAGAACTATAAACCTACTTTTGCCCCATCCTGTATATCTAACAAGTCTTCATGAGGTCTTTTATTTATATAATTTATTATATAATTTCTATAATGTGTATTTATTATTTAATAAGTGGTCTGGTATATTTTCAATTAAAAAACTTTTCTGTATTGCAAAAATACTGCATAATCACAATGAAGGGATTGAAAAACTGTCACTGAACAAGAAAATTACATCATCCACAATCGTGCCATTTAGCTATGAAGTTCTTAAAAGCTGTCTATACTCCCTGATTCCAATTTCCCTGCCATGCACTGTCAAACCCACTCTAGCAAGTTTTAGTCCCTTCTCTCCTCCATAATTGTTTTTCTGAAGGTTACCACTGGTTTTTCACTCTAATAAAACTAGATATAATTTCTTAGACCTCGTTTTACATAATCTGTCAACAATATTTGACCCAGTGGGAAACTCTCTTCAGAATACTTCCTTCATTTGGTTTTCAGGACTTAGTTTTCAGGGTGGGAAGCACACTTTCCTGGTTCCCTGCTGCCTGTCCAGTCCATGCATCTCAGTCTGTTTTACTTGTTTCTCCCCATGCCCCACCTTTTATACTTCCCAGTGTTCCAGGACTCAGTCCTTGGTCTGTTTTTCCCATGACTTTTAGTGCCTTGTATATGCTAATCCTCAAATTTGTATTTCCAGCCCACATATCATATCTCTCCTTAATTCCAGCCCTATATATCAGACTGCCTACTTGAGATCTCTTTTTGGATAACTCTTGGCTATTTCAGACTGAAGATGTCCAAAATTGGACTGCTGATACTGTTTTTTCACACCTGCCCTTCACACCGTCTTTCTATTTGGGTTAATGACAACTCTTCAGTTGCTGTGCCAAAAACTTGGTGCCAGCTTCTCTTATACCTCACATCTAATCTGTCAGCAAAACTTGCAGGTTACCTTCAAAATATTTCTAGAAGCATCTTCCAGACCCAAGCCACTATCATCTGCTGTTTAGATTAGTATAATAGACAACTAATTGGTTTCCTTCCTTCCTTCCTTCCTTCCTTCCTTCCTTCCTTCCTTCCTTCCTTCCTTCCTTCCTTCCTTCCTTCCTTCTTTCCCTTTCTCTCTCCTTCCCTCCCTCCCTCTCTCCTTCCTTTCTTTCTTTGCCCCCCCCCTTTTTACTCTTTTCTCCATTCTAAACACAGTGGATCTATTAAAAGATGAGTCAGATAATGCCATTCCTCTACTCAAAGCCTTCTAATTGCCTCCCATTTCACTCAGAGTACATGCCAAAGTTCTTCATAATACCTACAAGGTCTTACATAATCTCTTCATCTTAGATCTCTGTTTCTGACTTGAACTTCTATTTTCTATCCCTTTTGTTCTCTCTGAGCCAGACTGAATTTCTAACTATTCCTAAACGCTGCAGGCATACATGTGTACTTGTTGTTGATTCAATCTGGAATGCGTTTCCCTCAGATATACAGATGGCATGCTTTTTCCATTCTTTTTGTTCTTTACTTACGATCCTCTTTCTTGGCAAGACCTATCTTGGCCAGCCTATGACTTGACTGACCTTCTCCCCACACAACACATTAAAATTTCATTTATCTCCTCTAACATGCTGTATATTTTTCCTCTCTAGTTTATTATTATTGTGCATTTACATCACTCTCATGACTAGGGTTTTTTGTATCACTGCCATAGCCTCAGTGCCTAGAAAAGGGCCTAGCATGCAGTACTACACAAATATTGACTGAGTGGATGGAGTTTCACCGAAGTGTGTTGTCTTAAACACTATGTAGCTCATATGGAAATAAGAAATAAGTTTGATGTGGAATCATTCTGACAATTTTACCTGCCAATTATGTGCATTTCAAATATTCTTTTTTGCTCTAATAAGCTCTAATTTCTCCATGAACACTTTTCCATTTAGGGAGAGAAGCCCAGTGTTGTGTTTACTCACCATTTTTATTATTCATATTTATAGTAGTGTTAGTAAGGGTAAAATGGATCAAAGGAATAGCAAACTTCACTTATATTTTATTATGAAGCAGAAAATATAGTGGTGATAAGTTATTCTAGGGCTTTAAAAATTTTTTGCCAAAGGTTAATGAACTCTCAGTATCTGAAATAAAAAGATAAAGTTGGTATTTGTTGCTCATTATACTGAGAAAGCTCTACTGGCCAGGCAGAGTCTTTCCTGACACAGTGGACTGCTCCTGCTTTCCAGGGTTTCTGGACAAGTGGGCTTGAAGGACTAGTGGACTTTCAGAGACTTATGTGGGTTGACATCATCCGAGGCAGCCTGGTTATTCTGGGGAGATGCGTGTTGATTGGCTGGCACTCTGGGGTTTCTTTATTCAAATAAGGTTGTCCCTGAATGGCTTTCTTTCAGAAGGAAGCGGTCTACATTGATTGGTGAGTGAGGCCATGGTCACTGACTGATTAAACACAATTAAAAGTGGTTCTGGTGGCTACTTTTACCATGGCCACTTGTCAATCTTTTCCTAAGTCTGAGGCAACTTTAACCAAATTTTTTCACTGTCAGAGGTACCTTCCATCAACTATGTTCATAATGAAGATTATCTCATATTCTATAATTATAGACTTATTTTTGAAGTTTGGGTCAAGAGGAATTATTTAATAATTGCTCTCATAAAGATCCCTCCTTTTTTAGATGCTTAGTGTTAACCAGAAGTTATTTGCATAGCTATATTTTTTAGAAATGTTGTTAGTTTTGTTTTGTACAGCTTGTTTGTTATACAACTTGCATACAACTTAGTTTGTATATTGTACAACTTTTAGTTTTTGTTTGCTTGGATTCAATTGTTAATAGATATATATTTTTGCCATTTTATTGTTAATCATTTGATCTTCTTTTTCTTAACTGAGTCCCTTTAACGTTTCATATAATAATGGTTTGGTGATGATGAACTCCTTTAGTTTAGTTTTTTCTTGTCTGGAAAGGTTTTTGCCCTTCAATTCTAGATTTGTTGGGTAGAGCAATGTTGGATGTAGGTCCCTGATTTTCATGACTTCAAATATTTCTTGACAGTCCTTTCTAGAGTTCAAAGTCTCTTTTGAAAAATCAGCTGACAGTCTTATAAGAACTCCCCTGTAGGTAACAAACTTTTTTCCATTGCTGCTTTTAAGATTCTTTCTTTATTGTTAAGCTTTGGCATTTTAATTATATGTCTTGGGAGGGGCCTCTTTGCATTCATCTTGTTTGGAAGTCTGTGCTTCCTGGACTTGCATGTCTATTTTCTTCACCAAATTTGGGAAGTTTTTTTTTCAAATAGATTTCCAATTTCTTGCTCTTTCTCTTCTCCTTCTGCTACCCCATGATATGAATGTTGGACCTCTTAAGTTGTCCCAGGGGGATAGCTGTCCTCATCTTTTCTCTTGTTCTCATTGGTTGTTTTTTGTCTCCTTATGTTCCAAATCATTGATTTGACTCTTGGCTTCATCCACTCTACTGTTGTTTCTCTATAAATTGTTCTTTATTTCAATTAGTGTATCTTTTGTTTCTAAATGGGTCTTTTTTATGCTGTTGAAGTCCTCACTAAGTTCCCTGAGCGATCCTTACCAGCAACACTGGAAATCCTTATTACTAACAGTGTTTTGAACTCTGCATATGAAAGATTCCTTATCTCCATTTTGTTTAGCTCTTTTCTGGAATTTTGATCTGTTTTTTCATTTGGGCAGTGTTTCTTTGTCTCCTCACTTTGGCAGCATCCCTGTGTTTGTTTCTATGTATTAGCTAGAGCTGCTTTGACTCCATGTCTTGGTAGTATGGCCTAACGCAGTATGTGTCCTGTAGAGTCCAGTGGCACAGCCTCTCCTGTCACCCAAGTTGGGTACTCAAGATGCGTGCTTCGTGTAGGCTGAGCAAACCCTTCTTTTGTACTTAAGTTTTGGTCACTGTTGGCAGATCAGTGGGAGGGATTTACATAGGCCAGTTGGCTGCAAGTATTGGCTGTGACCACTTACCATCAGTCTCCACACTTTGTGGAGGATCAGCTGTATAGGGGCAGGGTGGTTGTCCTCTGATGTGGTCTGTAGCTGTCCAACTGGGTGTGCTGGCCCTGGGGTTCCTTGGATGGTGCAGGCCAAGGACAGCCCTCACCTGTGTTTTGCCCAGGGCAGCCCTGCCTGAGCTCTAGAGCAATGTGAGATGACTGCTATTTGTGCTAAACTTAGAGATTCCCAGGCAGAGTCAAGCTGGGAATCTAGACTGGCTACTGGTTCTTAGTGCAGGCCTTGGGGCTCACTGAGGCCATCTGTTGTTTGTGTGAGAGGATTTAGGAAGTTGTGTGGCGTGAGCCAAGACCAGCCATTCATATGGAAAAGCAGCTTAGGGGGTCCATAAGTTGGGTGGGGCAAGTCTCTGGGGGAATCTCCAGGGTGGGTCAAACAGCAATGGGAAACATTGCTGGCCTATAATAAATGGGTTAATTTATGTAACCAAAAAATAATAATAGGTTGATGGAGTCTCAGATATGGTACCTACTTGCTGGCTCTGTGGCTCTGTGCTAGGGAGAGTTCAGAAAAGACACAATGGCTTCTGCTTACCCTGATGCCAGACTCTTCCTTTTCTCCCAATATGCCACTGGTACCTTTGAAGCTGCTACCTTGCTGCTGGAGCTTAGGAGTAAGTCTGAGTAGGGGAGTCCATGTGTGAGTTCTTTAAGAAAAACTGTTTGGGGCTCCAAGAGTTTTTTCCACCGAGTCAATGCCTGCTGGTTTTTGCAGCCAGGAGTTTTGGGGACATATCTTCCTGGCCCTGGAACCCTGTGGTGGGGGATCCTTGTGCAGGGCTGGGACTCCTCACTCCTGAGATACCCCTCCCAAATTTTTATCCACCACACATGGGTAAGGGACCAGCCTGTTCTGTGTCTGCACCCCTCCTACTGTGGTGGATGGATGTGGTTTCTTTAATTCCATGGTTGTAAGACTTCCACTCACCTTGATTTCTAATGGTTCTGAGTGATGGTTGTTCTATAGTTTAGTTGTAATTTTGATGTGGTTGTGTGAAGAAGCAAGCCGTGTCTGCCTACGCCATCATCTTCCCCATTCTGTAGACTCTGGCAAGTTACTTAGCTTTTCTATGCCCCATTTTCTTTCTATGTAAAGTACCTAATACATTGCCTACCCCCAAGATTTCTTGCAAGCATTAAAATGCTCCTAAGACATGTAAAATGCTCACAATAATGCTTACTAGTTGCATAGTAAGTCCACAAAAAGCTAGTATCATGACTATTATAAGAGGGATTCCTTCATATAAGGGCTTAAGTAATACTTTCCAACTAGATCTTAGTGCCAGTAAAAACTTGTGTTTATTGAAAATGACAATGAAAAACCACGGTATATTATTTCTTCCTATCAGTAGTACAAGTAACAACATTATGTTTTTCCTTTTGCTTTGGCTGTCAGCTTGGTCTAAATTTAATACTTCGTGTTAATATTAGTGGTATATTTTCTCTATCCTTTAATGTTATTCTATTTATTGTTTAATCCCCCTTATGGAAAATTAATTACAAATGCAGAGGTAAGACTATAAACCTTATATTACCTAAGAAACAATAGGTTTAGATATTCTGTGTATCTTAAGTATCCTAAATATTTACATGAGAAGAATTGCTTTCTTTTTAGATCTACAGAGAAAACATCGTATGAAGAGAAAACATTTAGTGATGAAAACAAGGTATTGTAAAAAATAAACTATCAAAAATATTATTTGTAGTAAAACAAATTGTAATAGATATAGTGAAACAACAGGAAATCTTCCTTTGTTATAGAGACATGTACTTTTTAAGGTAATTTAGAAATAGTATTAATAAAGGTATCTTTTTTGTAAAAATCAGTTCTCTTACTACTTATATTTTTACTGTTATAAAAAGGTGGATATTTATCACCTCGATATACTTAACATATTTTATCAACATTTTGAAAACCAGTATTATTTATTTGTAGGTCAAACAGAAATTTAATTCCATGGATGACCTTGATGACTTAACTCAGTCATCTGAAACATTTTCGGAACATTGTGAGTTGCCTTACTCCAACTGTAAGAATTTCATGTTGCTAATTGAACAACTTGGCATGGATTGTAAAGGTAGGACCATGTATAAATAGAAAGCAGTTTTATGTATACTGTAGTAATATACGTACAACTTGTGTAGCATTGAACCATAGATCACAGACATGTTGTATAGCTGTTTATCTAAGAAATATGTTTGATATTACTATAAAGTGAGAGCGATTGTCTGCTCTCAACCAAAGAGCTATGATAATTTCCACTGTACTTTTCTCAGTGTGAATGGCAATACCATTCACCTAATGGGTGTGTTGTCTCTGTTTCTCTCCAATGCCTTCACCCAAGGTCAGGTTATGAAGGTTCCCTCCCAGAATACTGAAATAATCTCATAACTGGTTTTCATGCCCTTTCACCTCCTGGAGCTTTGGTGTACAAGGGTATTTATTATATATTTTTTAAAATTGAGATCTTATTTTATTTAATTTTTAAGTATATTTTATTGATTATGCTATTACAGTTGTCCGATTTTCTTCTCCCCTTTATTCCCTTCCGCCCTGCTCCCCCTTTCCCACCAACATTTCCCCACACTTAGTTCATGTCAGTGGGTCATACATATATGTTCTTTGTCTTTTCCATTTCCTAAACTATTCTTAACCTACCCCTTCTATTTTGTAGCTACGTTTATGCTTATTTCATGTACCTTTCCCCCAGTCTCTCCCCCCACATTCACTGATAACCCTCCATGTGATCTCCATTTTTGTGATTCTGTGCCTGTTTTAGTTGTTTACTTAGTTTGTTTTGTTTTTAGGTTCAGTTGTTGGTCATTGTGACTTTGTTGTCATTTTACTGTTCATAGTTTTGATCTTCTTCTTTTTCTTAGATAAGTCCCTTTAATATTTCATATAATAAGGGCTTGGTGATGCTGAACCTTTTTAACTAGACCTTTTCTGGGAAGCATTTTATTTGTGCTTCCATTCTAAATGATAGCTTTCCTGGATAGAGCAATCTTGGATGTACCGGTAGGTCTTTGCCTTTCCTTACTTCAAACATTTCTTTCCAGCCCCTTCTTGCCTGCAAAGTTTCCTTTGAGAAATCAGCTGATAATCTTATGGGAACTCCTTTGTAAAGGACTATCTCCTTTTCTCTTGCTGCTTTTAAGATTCTCTCCTTATCTTTAACCTTGGGTAATTTAAATATGATGTGCCACGCGGTGTGTGCTTCCTTTGGTGCAACTCCTTTGGGATTCTCTGAGCTTCCTGGACTTCCTGGAAGTCTATTTCCTTAGCCAGATTGGGGAAGTTTTCCTTCATTATTTATTCAAATAAGTTTTGAATTTCTTGCTCTTGTTATTCTCCTTCTGGCACCCCTGTGATTCGGATGTTGTAATGTTTAAAGTTTTCCTAGAGGTTCGTTCCTAGGCCTTTCCTCACTTTTTTGAATTCTTGTTTCTTCATTCTGTTCCAGTTGAATGTTTATTTATTCCTTCTCGTTGATTTCAGTCCTGATTTCTTTCCCTTTAATGTTGGTCCCCTATATATTTTTCATTATTTCACTTTGCATATCCTTCACTTTTTCCTCTATTTTCCGATCATACTCAGCCATGTCTTTGAGCATCCTGATTACCAGTGTTTTGAGCTCTGCATCTGACAGGTTGGCTATCTCCTCATCGCTTAGTTGTATTTTTTTTGAAGCTTTGATCAGTTCTTTGATTTGGCCCTATTTCTTTGTCTCAGTGCGCCCATTATGATGTAAGGGGCAGAGCTTCAGATATTTGCCAGATTAGGGCAACCCACGTGGCTTCGTTGTGGCACTGTAGGTAGGGGAGGGGTCATAGAATAGTGTCTCTTGATTGGCTCTAGGCTGGGTTTGAGTCACTTACCCCTGTACTCTAAGCAAATTGGGCCCTTCTGGTGCTGATTCCTGGGTGGGTGGGTTTGTGTATGTTCTAGGAACCTGTGGGTTTCTCCACCTAACTCTCCTGTGAGGCTGGGAGTATTTCCCACCACCACAACTCCCATAGGTTTTTACAGCCAGAGGTTTTGAGTTTTATTTCCCCATGCTTAAACCCTGGGTTGCGTGGTCTGTCTCACTCCCCAGTTGTTCCTCCTGGTTTACCCACGTGCAAATGTGGGACAGCCAGCTGCTGCCTTGCCCACCTAGTCCTCCAGCCACTGCTTTGTCTCGAGTCTTCTCTGCCCCAACTGCCCACCTCCACTCCTCCTACCAGTCTGGATAAATATGTCTTCTTTAACTCCTTGGTTGTCAGACTTCCATACATTTTTATTTTGTATACATTCTGGCAGTTCTGTTTATTTTTTGTTTTTAAATTGTTGTTTGTCCTTCTTTTGGTTATGTGAGGAGGCAAAGTATACCTATGTATGCCTCCATCTTGGCCAGCAGTCCCCGATCTCATTGTGTTTAAAACTGAGCCTTTACTTCTCATTGCTCTAAGGTTAAAGGCCACAATATCCTCTAGCTTCATTTTGTATCATTTTATATCCTCTTTCCATCTGTGTTACAGCCACTATCTTATATTTTTTTTCTGTAATAATGCTTTATTTCCAACAGCTTGATTAGGTAAACTACAAACATATGAAGTGTGTATAGCTTGATAGTTTTGATGTGTGTGTACACATATGAACTCATCTCCACAATCCAGATAGTCAGCATATCCATCACCCCTAAATTTTTCCTCATACTTTTTTGTATCCCTTTTTAAGAGACTGCTGAGTTGGGGGGTGCCATTTTCCATTCCCTCCAGCAGTGCGTGAAAATTCCATTTCCTCCATATTTTCACTAACATTAAGTATTGTCAGTTTTTAAATCTTAGCCATTCTGATGAGGATGTGTATACCCACTAAGCCATGACACTGGCCAATGCCCTTTTTCTCTCTCATGAAATCCAGTATATTCATTTGTTCTTTTATGGATTTTTTGTTGTTGTTGTTCATGTCTAACAATTTTTGCCTAGCACAAGATCACAAAAATTTATTTTAAGTTTTCCTTTAGAAGTTTTATAGTTTTAGTTCTAGCATTTAGATATGGTTCATTTTGTGTTCTCTTTTACATGTGAGGCAAAGTATGGATTCAAGTTCATTTCTTTGCATATATATATCCAATTGGTCCAGCACCGTTTGTTGAAAAGGCTATATTTTCTCTACTTTATGCCACTGTGCCTTGTCAAAATCAGTTCACCATGTGTGTGTGTAGGTTTATTTCTGGACTCTGTTCTGTCCCATTGATGCATCTGGCCATCCTTACATCAGTTTAAGGTGTTTTAATTACTGTAGATTTATAAAAGTTCCTGGAATCAGATCATGTCAATCCACTAGTTGTGCTCTTTTCCATGGTTATTTTGCTATTATAGGTTACTTTGTATTTCTGCATGAATGTTAAATCAGCCTATCAATTTTTTTTAAATCCTGTTAGCATTCTCAAAATTAGATTTGGATCATATTGAGTCCACAGATTAACTTGTGAAAAATTAATTTTTTTAACAATATCAAATTTTCAACCCCTGATCAAAGTTCACGTACATTTATATAGAACATCTTTAATTTTTTCTTAGTAATATTTTAATGTATAGGTCTTTCTATCTCTTATGAGGTTATCCATAAATATTTCTTATTTTTTAATGCAATTGTAAATAATATATCTTAAATTTTAATCTCTGATTGCTCACTGCTAACATACATAAATACAGTTGATTTTTGTATATTGATTTTGTATCCTTCAACTTTGCTATATTCATTTATTAGTTCTAGTAGCTTTTTGGCAGAGTCTATCAGATTTTCTACATAACCAAAGGTTGTCAAACTTTCCTAAACTACTATTATCCTAAGGGTAGTAAATATTTAAGACTTTGTGGCCAATAACATTCTCTATAACAACTAAATAGCTCTGCCACTGTAACATAAGAGTAGCCACAGACAATACATAAATTAATGGACATGACTGTATTTCAGTAACTTTTTATTGACTGAAACAAGCCACCTGGCCCACAGGTTGGAGTTTGCTGGCTCCTGTTTATATGATCATGTTGTCTGCTAATAGAGCCAAGTTTACTTCTTCCTTTCCTATACAATGCCTTTTGTTTCTTTATCTTGCCTAATTAGAAATTCTGGCTAGAAATTCCAGTATGGTGCTGAGGAGATGGAGAAAAGTGGTCATTCCTGTCTTGTTCCTGATTCTTTAGGGCAAGAATTCACCTTTTAACGCTTAACCTATGATGTTAACTGTAGAGTTCTCATAGATCTTTTCTTGAATCACATTAAAGAAACTTCCTTGTACTCCTAGTTTGCTTAAAGAGTTTTTTTATTTTTGTTCAATTATAGTTGTCTCACATTTTTCCCCATTGCTCTCTCCTGCCCTACCCATGTCCCACCCCACCTGCTCCTGTTTTAACCAGGAGTAGATGTTAAATTTTGTCCAGTGCGTTTTTTCCCTAGTTACATGATTATAGTATATGGTTTATTAATATGATAACAGTTGATTTTTTTA